GGGCCGGGGATGCCACAGGCCCCGGCTGTTTGCTACGCCTGGGGGAGGAGCGGGCCTGGGCTGCTGGAGGAATTTTGGACATGTGAGGTCTGAAGTCCCCGACTTCCGACTTCCGAGGGGAGGGCCGGGGTTCAAGGGAGAAGTGTGAGCTGGAGGCAGGCACCAGGTCGTCAGCAGATGGAAGCAGCGAAGAGCATCAGGGAGGAGTACAGAGGCCCAAGGGCACCGCAGCCCTTAGAGGTCAAGGAGGTAACTAAGAGGGACCAGGGAAGGCGGAGGGCAGGCCAAGCACGGCCGGAAGCAGCTGGAGACAGTGACTTAGAGTGACCGGTTGTGCAGACACCATTACACCGAGTGAGATGACAGAGAGATGACCACCGACTGGGCTGTCACCCCACTTGGCCCCCAGCCTCTAGCCATCAGCTCCCACGCCACCCCTCACTCCACTGCACTCTGCCCGCCCCCCGGCTGCCCCTCCCCTGCCCACCGGCCCTTTCTGTGCCCGTAGCTGTGCCGGGAGAAAGAGGACCTCAGGGATGAGATTTACTGCCAGGCCATCAAGCAGGTCACGGGACACCCCCGGCTGTGAGTGTTGGGGTGCTGGGGTGGGCGGCGGGCAGCCCGCTGCGTGTCCGGCAGCCCGAGCCCAGCTCTCTGCCCCGCAGGGAATTCTGTGCTCGAGGCTGGAGCTTCCTCAGCCTTCTCACCGGCTTCCTGCCGCCGTCCTCCACGCTGCTGCCCTACGTGACCCAGTTTCTGCAGGACGCGGGTAGCAGTCAAGGTGCCTGTGGGAGGGGCTCCCAGGCGGGTCTCGGCGGCGTGGGGAGGGGTTTGAAGATGCCACTGACCACAGCCTGGTCCTCTCTGCAGAGCTGGCCCGCAGCAGCCAGAAGCACCTCCAGCAGACGGTCAAATACGGGGGGCGCCGGCGGCTGCCGCCCCCGGGTGAAATGAAGGCGTTCCTGGTACTGGGGGTGCAGGCGGGGGCATTCTGGGTCTCCCTCGGGGGGCGGGGGGGAGTCAGGGCATAGGTCTGGGCTGGACTGACCTGCCACGTGCCCTGGCAGAAAGGGAAAATGCTCCGCCTGCTCCTGGTTCACCTGCCCGGAGGCGTGGGCTACAAGACCAACATTGGGCCTTTCACCGTGAGCTGGGGCCACCCAAGACGGGCCGGGCTGGGGAGGGGCGGGGCTGTGGGCCTCAGTCCTGGCCCAGCCCCATCATGGCCTGTCCGCACGCCCAGGTGGCAGCAGAGGTGCTGGAGGAGCTGTGTGGGAAGATGGGCATCACGGAGCCCGAGGAGGTCCAGGAATTTGCCCTGTTCCTCATCCAAGGCGAAGGCGAGTGTTGGGGGAAGGACGCCAGGCTGCACTCAGGGCGGCTCCCCTGCTGGGTCCACCTTTGAGCCCCACCCCCACCCCCACCCGGGCGAGGCAGTTCCTACACTGGGGCTGGCAGGGGTGGGGCGGGGCCTGGGCAGCAGGGAGGGCGCTGAACCGAGCTCCCCGTGCAGGTGAGCTGGTGCGGCCCCTGCGGCCCCAGGAGTACCTCAACAACGTGCTGGTGGGCCGGGAGACCAGCCTGCACAGCCGGCGGCTCGGCTGGGAGACCCGCCTGCACTTCGATAACCCCACCTACATCAGCACCCACTACAGCCAGGTCAGCCTGCTGCCCACTGTCTGGGCGGGGCCTCCGGGCCTCCCTCCCCTCCTGCCAGGAGCAGGGACGGGGCAGGACTGTCGGGGGGCTGTAGGGCACAGCTGCCCCTCACTGTGCTCTGCCCTCAGGTGCAGCGAGACTACCTGCAGGGGAAGCTGTTGGTCGGCGCCCAGGCCGATGCCCTAGTTGCCAGGCTGGCTGCCCTCCAGCTTGTCAGCAGGACCCAAGAGGCCCCCCTCTCAGAGTGAGTGTGCACGCCCCCCACGCCTCCTGTCACTTCTCGTCCCTCCTGGAGCTGAGGTCAACCTCAGCATCCACCCCAAGGGCCTCTCAGCCCACAACCCAAGGTCAGGGCCACCTGACTTGACTCTCCTTGGCCCTAAACAGATGGGGCTGGAGCAGTGGAGGCCCGTCCGCCCCACCCAAGCTCAGGGGCAGGGACACCTCACTGGTGTCTGATCTTCAGTCGCCCCCACGCAGCCACTGGTTCACTCACTGCGCGCCGGCTGGATGCCCAGCCTTGACCCCCCGCTGTGTCCTAGGCAAGACCTGCTGGCTTACTTGCCGAGGCTGCTGCAAGGCCAGCTGAACATGGCCGCCATCCAGAGCCTGATGGACCAGGAGCTGAGGCAGCTGCAAGGACGCAGCGCCCAGGAAGCTCAGATCGACTTCATCGGTGGGTCTGGGGCCCGGGGGCAGCTGGGGAGGAGGGAGGAGGTAGAGGCCCTGGAGGGAAGGGGTGAGGGTGGAGGGCTGAGAAAGCTGCTCCACCTTCCCTGTCCCTCTCACCTCACCTGGGGGCCAGCAGGGCAGGTCCCCAGGCCCCAGAACTCCCATCTTGTGTGTCACCCCTCCACCCCCAGAGGCGGCCAGCCAGCTGCCCCTTTTCGGTTACACTGTCTACGTGGTGCTGCGGGCCAGTGACCTGACGCTGCCCAGACCCAGCCTCCTGGGGCTGAACCGACAGCACCTCATCCTCATGGACCCCAGCTCCCAGGTGGGCTGGGCACCCGGGGCCATTCCCTCCCACCGCCCACACGTACCCCCATGAGAGGGTCGAGCCCTGTCCCTGCTGCCCCCAGACGCTGTGCCGCTCCATCGCCCTGAGGGACCTGCAGCAGCTCCACCTGCTGAGCCCCCTGGAGGCAGGCAGGCCCCCTGCCCTGGAACTCAACTATGGCTCCCCTGACAGCCCCCAGACCGTCTGGTTCGAGCTGCCGCAGGTGAGGGGCGGGGGCCCCCGACCCTGGGAGGCT